ACACTGACAGAGGCTATCCTTGGAAGCCGAGAGTGATGACGAGGAGCGGACGGTGATACATGAAGTGAGAAAAAAATGTGTTGGGATGACTGCAGAGAGACGAGGCGAGTCGGTCACGGAGAAACGTGATGCCATGGAATAGAATGACCGAACGCAGATAGCCAGACTTGAAAGGAGGACGTCACCCATCTAAAGGGTGTTGGGCGACAGCGAGGGGCAAGTGTGCGACAGGAAGAGGGGTTAAGATAGAGGCACGTCACAGGAAAGGCGGACCCCCCCCCTTGTTGGGCGACAGCAAGTGGGAAGAGCAGATTTCTGGCGGGTGAATCTTTGCATTCGACTGACATCAGGTCTTTATCACTCATTGCCAAAAGCCTAATCCAGTTTATCTTCCCCCCTGTAGTGATCTACTAAATCTGACTTCACCATCTACTAACAAGAACGGGCCACGTTTCTTTTTGTCTGAGAGGTGATTTGGGGGCAGCCGGTTGGTTAATTCTTTTGAGCTGCTGGATTGCACCAGAAGGGATTAGATTACGTACCACCGGGGTAGCCCCCGCCATTCCTGTTTCCCTGTTTTCCCCCGTATTACATCAGCGTGTAGGCTCCTCCATCTGTGAGTAAGCACATACCTCACAGTCACAGCGGAGGCCAGAAACACGTCCGATGTGTTAAGACAGGAGAGAGGGGAATAATGGGATAGGTGGAGGAGGGTTTACGGTCCTTCCTGCGCAGGGTTTTCTATTCAACTCCAATAAATAGATAAGAGATGTAGCGGGAGGTTGATGGTGATCTGGTTCCTGTGTATGCGTGTATGCGTGTGTCTGTGTGTGTCCACGTGTGCTTATTGTTCCAACCTGGCCGTAACCCAATCTTTTCTGTTTTCAAATCATAAATAATGAACGACCCAGAAGGAAATGAAACACTATCCATGTAAAACTCCCTGGGGTGGTTTATCACATGTGACAGTGATTCATTGCTGTAATATCATGATCACAGCGTAGACCTTAGCCAATTACAATACCAATTGTAGATAGGTAAATAATATTCCGGCCACATTCCGGCCTTCTTCTCTCACAAGCTACGTTCGGATTAATCTTCAAAGTAAAGGGCATTCTTGCGTGACAAAGCGAGTCCTGTAAGTCGGCAATCTGGGAACGCTTTGCTCGGTAAGATCAACATTGTAAATATGAAGACACACAGTAAGTAGAGATCATTATGGGAGGGGGAGGGGGGCTACGTGGGAATACAGGATGCTTTATTTGCACCTCATGGTGTGCTTGGACGGAACAATTTGGGGTCAGAATTCGATCCAGTGAATGTGGACAGTTCTGCTCTTTCTCTCTCTCTCTCTCTCTCTCTCTCTCTCTATCACTCTCGATCGTTTAGGTCGAAACCTCATTTAATGACTCTGTGCGGTTCGCTGGCTTTTGGACCCGTCTGAAACAGCTGACACAAGGCAGATAGGTGGGTGTGTGAGTTTTGAGGCGAGGCAGAAAACGGCAGAGGCAGACAAGGAAAGGTAACTCTGTTTTCTTGGTAACTCCATTAAAGAGAACCCCTGGGAGGTTTGGACGACTGACAGCTGAGGTGGAGCCCGGGGCGGCCAAGCAGGAGGGAGAGTGTTTTCATGTGTTTATGTGTGTGTTTTCCTTCACAACAGGGACTAATATATATATATATATATGTATGGATGCAGGGCTGTCTCTCGGGGCTGAGTGTGATGGGGGTTCACTCAGGGGTATAGGACCAGGCCCCCCCGGGGGGGGACGACCTACGGAACACCCTCGTTACCCTCTGGGGAGCGATCCATTTGAGGTGCGGTGCCCCACCACCCTTCACCTCCAATGTGCCGAATCAGTGGAAGGCTGAAACCCAGAGAGAATCCCTGACACTAATATGGAAAAAAGCCTGTTTGGAGGGAATATAAGGCCAAATATTATTCTTCCTGAGCGTAACCACGGCGAGCACCTCTGACCTGGCAGCGAAAGTGCTGAAACAAAAAGCCCAAAGACTTTTTCTGCTCCATCAAAGGAGAGCAGCATAAAATAAACACGGCCATCAGATTACCGCGCTGAACGCGGGCCGCGTTCAGCCCGCGCCCGGCTGCCCCGCCGCCCAACCCCGTAGCTCTATGGGAGTTAAGTGTGGGGTCCGCTCAGTCAACACCATGACGCAAAATGGAACAAGCCTCTGACAGAAGCTCCGGGCTGATGGAATAAGGCCCCTGCCCACAGCCCCACAGGCCCCCCGGCCCGAGAGAAACGTACTGAGCGAGAACGACAAAGAGAGAGAGGGAGAGAGAGAGAGAGAGAGGGCGGCAGGGAAATGGGATGAAAGAAGAGGACAGGAGGGGAAAAGGTAGATGCGGGCTTTACGAAAAAGAGGAAAAGACCACCAGTCCCAAATTTGGGGGGAACTGGCCCCGTCCCCAAAGAACCAGCCGCAGCAGGCGAGGACAGACAGCCGCCAGTGGAGAGAAGGCCGGGGCAGGGCAGGGCAAGGCAGGGTGCAGTGGTTGGTGGTGGTGGCTGTAGCTGCCAGTGAGACTGTGGGGCTAAGCTGGCTAGTCCGACTAACAGTGGACAGCCTCAGCACGGTGGATCTGACCTCACAGGGGTTCTTTTATATCCTGCGCCAGTGCCTGTGTACATTTGTGTGAAGGGACATGCATCTGTGCACCAAAAAAAAAAAGAAAATGTGTGTTTATGTGTGCATTTCGCGTTCGGGTGACGTAATCAGGAAAACAGATCTGCCCCTTGAGGTTGACCGAGGCTTTTCTCTCTCTCTTTTAGTCATCTCACTGAGGCTTCGCTGTCTATTTCATCCGGGAGTCTCCTCATCTCCAACCTCAGCAACAATCTGCCGTCTGTCTGCGTCTGACTGATTTCCCTCCCGGCACCTCTGACCTTCTCACCGCTCGTCTCAAACCTCTCACAGTCGCAGATTCCTACACCCCCAGTCTGTCTTCTTGCCTGTGGCTTAACAGAGATTCCCCTGCTCCCTTGTTTCCTGCCCGGCGTCACCAACGGAGTAGGTCCTGAGCCATTCACATTGTTCCAGTCTCCCTCTGTTTCAGACTAAAGCTGACTCATATATTTTCAAAATAAGGCCCAAAATGAGAAATGTATTTATTTCTCAGCAGCCAGACTCATTAAGGTAGACCGGATTCTGCAATATTTGGTAATAATGACGCCTTTAGACAAGCCTCACACTTCCCTCCGCCATGACCTGATTAAACATTTCACAATCTCCATCGGTAGCCCCACAGTCATGGAACTCTGCCCTTTCCCCTGACGTACGACTCGAAAAATCTCCTTATAACTGCGGCTTTGGGATGACGCTCAGGTAAAGTGCTACCAGATCACAAATAGGTACTGAGGCCGTTCCATGTTGTAGCTGTTAGTGTAAAGTGTGAGAGCCATGGGCCCCTTTCTGCTTCCTGAAAATGACTCCTGTGTGTAACAACAATGAACACAATCACTGTGGTCCACTGGGCCCCCACACCAGCAGCGTTGCATTACCGCGCTCGCCTCCCTACTGTTCTCCTTTTCTTTTCATCCTTCTTTCTTTCCTCCTCTGACTCAGCTGTTTTGTAGGAAACTCCGTCTCTTTGAAGAAGGGAAGAATCTTTCATTACTCCACAGCGAGGGAGAGAGAGAGAAGGAGATGATAGGGAGAGAATGACTGCACCATTGTCTTCACCCTCCCCTCCGTCCACCAATGATAATTGTGTCGAGCTAATTACAGAGAGCTGCTTCAACAGGTGTGGGTCTCTGCACCTGGGTAAAGAAGACTTCTGTATGTGTGTGTGTGTGTGGAGAGAGACAGAGAAGTAGGAATTGGTGTGTGTGTGTGTCTGTGTATTACTACGCAATTCTGGGGAAAGTGCGTATGACGTCTTCTGCGCCGGTGATTGTGACCACAGAAAACCGTTTGTGTGTGTCACACGCTTACTAAAAGTGCCATGTTACTTAATAGTGGTCAGACATTGGTCACTGTGTTGTATCACAGAGACCAATGTCACACAATCAGCCCGGACTTGCACCAGTCTGAAGCCCATCTGTGGTTAATTATAAAGCTGCACAATACATCTGTTAGACATTACTGGAAAGTTGAAATTAGCACACAAACGCAGTCTCACTCTCGCTCATACGCCACATTGAATTTCAAATGAGAATGATTACAATCACTTTATTGATAAACGTGACCGCAGGGAGCCTCTTCTCATGCTTCACAATTTGGGAGACAGAACCGGAGGCAGCGGCGGTGATGTAAGCAGGGAGTCTCTCACGGGACTTTTTACAGTTAAGGAATTCATGTGTGAGGCTGACCGGAAGACAGGAAGCTCTTTGGTCGGGCGCCAACGGAAGAGTGTCTCTTGGAGACGTCATACAGCTTAACTCTCATAACAAAGAAAGAAGTTTCCCAAGACTGGGTCTGGCGGACTAGACGGTTAAATTGACTGGATATTACCAAATGGTGACAGTTCTCGTTCAACTGTTAGTCAATCCTGTTGATGACATCACCCGACTGCTTATGCTTAATGACCTGAAGTGGGTTTATAGGGCCAGGGGATTGCACCACAATAATGGAATGAGAAACCCTACCAATTACACCGATAAAAGAAAATGGAGATCTCACCTGCTCTCCAGTCCCCAGCTTTGACCTTTACGCCAGCTCACCTTGGTGAAGGTAACCTTGTGTGTGGTCGTCACAGTCTCATTTGCTCGTTTTGGGTCATGGGCCCTTCGTAAAATGCTACCCTGATTACAGGAAGTGAGAGGTGGGCCTCTGAAGCAGACTTTCATTTAGTTGTATGATTGCCTCCTTGGTCAAGCAACTGTACCTGCAGACTCATCACTTAACGTCAAAGGGGAATGAGTCCTGCATCGCCACCTTGTGGAATATTTCTCTGGAAATGAGGTTGAGGTAAATGCCAAACCAAAGGGGCCCAGCTGTGGGAAACAAGTTCGTCAAACATCACACGGAAACCGTAGGTCTTTTAGACTAGAATTCAGCGTTTTATTAAAAACAAGTAGTTTAAAAACAGTCATGGGAGCCAAGTAAAATAGTCATGCGTAATGCATAACACTGCACGATCCAACAGCCATGGGGTTTTACTCACTGCTTTTAAACCAAATCTATTAAGACATTTCAAAGCCAATACATTTCTTTTACTTCTAATATCTAAATGGATAAATGAATTGATATAGAAGTGTCATGAAAAACCACAACCAGGAAACAAAATGCAGAAAACATGTTCGGTTTGCATTCTTTTTTTTGTGTGTTTGTGAAGTTTTTAGTGATTTTATTTTTCACTTCCGATCAGAGGGACAAATATGGTCTTCCTCAAAGCCGAGTCCTCTGATTGGCGGGGAGCTCGTCCTGGTCGAGTCCCCACAAGAAGGTGCGGAGACGTGTTACTTCCTTCTGGAGCTCGGGGCTCGGGATTGGCTGGCAGAGGTCGAGGCGTGGCGTTTCATTTGGCAGGATGAGAGGAGGATGGTCCAGGAAGCTCTCAAAGATGTCTATGAGAATTAAAAATAAACAATTAATTAAACAGATCATTTCACTGGTTGGATTCTTTAACTTTGTTCATTTAATTTATACATGAATCACCTCCACTCAGCTCTGTGCCCGGCAGAGGGGCCCAGGATGCTGGTGGGGCTCTGGTGGGACCCAGCTTGTAATGGGTGAGCATGTGGTGCAACTGGGAAGGGCTTAAAGAGACATGGTCCTCCCGAAGACTGGTCCAGGATGACTGGAGGACAAAAGGACATGGTCAATACATATGAATAATCAATAATCTAAAACTGGGAAGCTTTCTTCACACGTGGCTGTGTTACCTGGATAAGTCGAGTCTTGGGAATACACAGGAAGTTGACTGTGACTGACAGTTTCTTCATGAACTCAGAGGCAATGTCTCCTAATCCCGCCCCCTGCAGCCAGTCCAAAACCAGGTCCAAGTTTGTGCGGATCTGGACCGCTCTGGACCACGAAAACAGTCCATCTAAAAACAGAGAGAGAGAGAGAGAGAGAGAGAGACAACAGAATAATACAATGATGTTATTAAAGGGAGAAATTCAAACACTTTGGAAAAAAAAGAATATAAACAATTACTGACAATTAAAATGAATTTGACTGGTCTCCACTTCAACATTTAACTTTCCATCCCTTGCGGTCACACCGGCTGCCTTCTCACCTCTTTCCAGCAAAGTGTTGAGCAGGGAGGTGTTGGTGAAGAAGAAGAGGTAGCCAAAGGTCTGGGAGGTGAGCGGCGGGGACAGACATGCCTCCCGGGACAGCATCAGCGAACAGCGGTACACTTCCACCAGCCCGGCGACTTTGGGGGGTAAGGCGGACACGTCGTCCACCTCTCCTTCCCCTCCTTCTTTCTCCTCTCCCTCGGCACTCCGCGCCCCACCCCTCTCCTTCTCTTCTCTGGAGAATGGGTTGGAGTCCAGGAGAGCTGGAAGGAGTGAGTACAGGGTCTTTGGCAGACAAGAGGGACACTTGAGGTCATTTGTTCAGTAAACAAATTGAAGAAAGGAATGTTTATTGTTGGAGTGGGGGAGACAGATTGAGTATGTCTATTGGTCAGTCCACCATTTTATGTCCACGTTGAAATATTTCAACAAAAATGGGGTGATCCATAAAGGATGGGTCCTATCGACTTTGTTGATCCTCTTACATATGGATCTATTATTGGACGATAGGCGCTCGATATTCAGCACCTGCAACCCCAACCCAAGCCGACCCACTAAACTAAGATGTGCAGAACATCAGCATGTTAGCATTACCCCTGTGAGCAGTTCAGCCCTCAGGGTGTCTGTGTGGAAGCCTCAAATCACTACACACTCGGCCCGAGCAATCTTATAGACTTTCAGGTTTGCTCTATTCTCCTGTGAAGCAATGCACAAGGGGAATTGAGGAGCTGCTCACAGCTGGCAAAAATTAAAATAAATAGTGGGTGGTTAGACAGCTTCAGAACCATCCTTGAAAACCCCAAAATATGTATTATGTCTTCAGAAAGACCTTTTTGTTGTCTGTGAAGTTTTATTGCCAGTGGTATTTGAAGGTTTTCCTAGCGTCACACATGACAAAGGTATGTAACGTATATAAACTGCTGAAACAGACTGGTGACCATATGAAAAGAAGTATTTTTATCCTCTACCTTTGTGAGGTGATAAACACACTGTTGGAAGGTGTGCATAATGACGTCATCCAGCTGTGCCAGAGCTTCTGAGCACGTGTCCATGTCAGCCGTCAAAACCGGGTCCCCTGGGACTACAGAAGAAAATTAGTGAGAGGAGAGGAAGATTTTGTTCCCACTTTAATTCCTACTTCATTTGATGAAACGATCATAGCTTCTAAAGGCATTTCTTACTTGAATCAGTCATTTCAATGTTTTCAGATCATTCTCACCTTCAAACTCCCACTCTTTCTCCATGGCTTCAACTTTGACCTGGAAGAAGTTAAGGAGCTCTGTGGCGTTTGACATCCAGAACATCAGGGGTCGAAGGTCGGAGGAGAGCTTTTGGACATTCGGCGTGCTTACCTCACCTTCTTGCTCTGTTGAACTGGACACAATAACGTAATTCCAAATGTATGCTTTAAAATAGCCGTGAACCCTTTAGTTTCCGTATGCTGTTAATGCCTTAAAAGACGAAGACACCTCACTGGGAGTAAAAATAGACTCCAGTTATTATTACTAAACTATATTTTTCAACATCACATCACATCACAACCATGCTTTCATCAAACCACAAAAATGCACCAAAGACATAACAGCGCAGGCACAAATGTATCATGAATCACTTCACTTCAGATCTTTAAAGAGAGTAACCATGACGCAGACCAAAAATGTTCTTACTTTTGCGTGGGATGCTTATCGCCAAATTCCTTAATGTTATCCTGTGAAGACAGTTGGAGACAGAAGAGACATCTTGGGTTAGTGTGCGGGTGGAGGTGGGGGAACATGGTCTCGCCCTGCAGCCAGGGCAATTACAGCACATTTTCCAGCAGGTTGGCAGTGACATCAGCCTGTCCTCGCCTTCTATCCACAACGTAGCAGTGCAAAACCAAGGGCACATGTCTTTCTGCTGCTTTTTCTGTCCCACTGAAGGCGGCATCTCAGTCTGTCTACCTGATGTTTTCCTGCCGAGCCAGTTTAAGTAAGGACATTAACACCCACACTATTTTATCCTTTTACATTATATACCACAAGCTGTCGTTTCTTAACTCTCAGCATGGCTCTGTGGGTGGCAATGCCAGTTGGTTCACAGCTGGAATAACTCAACTATCGGATGGGGTGACATTTATGGTTTGCAAAGAATGAATCCCACTGGCCTTGAGGATGCTCACTTTATGAGCAAAAACCTTCAGAACTAATGCCTTATACATCAGCCTAAATTCATGGTTGTCCCTTCTACGCCACCAGGGCAAAGTTTCCATTTTAGATATTGACCTCTTGTTATTTGTCACTTACCCAGACAATCTCTTTTATGTGATTGGCCGATTTGAGTAATATCTGCGGTGTGAGAGCAGGGTCCAAGTGTTTTGAGGCATGATCTATCATGATTGATAGGAGATAAGCAGGAGCTAACGGCCCACCACCAGAGTCTGGGGAGGAATTTTTGGAGATGATCTCCTAGGAGATAGTGAGGGATAAACATAACATATCAGCAAGGCCATTCTTTATACCAGATACATTGATGGTAAATAAGAGCTTCTTTATCTCCCTGTCTCACCTGTAACAAAGCATCTGCGTGGCGGGGATGAAACTTCAGAACTGCCTCCGTGGATCCGAGGTACTGCCTAAGTGCCTCCTGTCTGTCCACTAACCCCGAGGGGCAGCAGGGGGTGGAGGCATCGGCCTGCCATGGCAGGGTCAATGCCAGAGGGGGAGCTGGAGTCACACGGGGGTCACGATACAGAAAGAGGAAGTGGTTCCCCAAACCAATCACATCCCCAGGCTTCAGGACCGTCTCTCTGTAGAGGGCCACTCCGTTGTGTGTGACTGCACCTCCTCTGAAGGGTCGCATTACTGCTACTATAAAATAAAATAACAGAAGAACACGGTACAGAGCTGTCGCACCACGGGTGCATGTATGATATGAGATAGTGACCGTTAGTACCTTGTCTGGTGGGCGTTTCGGGAACAGCCGAGTCTCTCCTGACCAACAGGTGTCTGGCCAATAGGTCAGGGGCCGAGAGGAACGTGTCCACCTTCAGAGGCCTCTTACCCTTCCTCTCCCTCTCTTTATCCTTCTCTCTCTCCCTCATTGTGGATTTTCTCCCGAACACATGCGTGTGCCCCGCCATGATGTACAAAACAAAGTCCTAAACAAAGCACACAGTGGAGAGCAGAACAGAGTCAGGGAGGTCTGTTGTCTGTTATCTTTTAAGTGCTACGGTTCACGTCAATCTTCTATCTCAGAGATGTTAAGTTGAACTGAAGGCGGTTGATAAGGTATGAAGTGTGTCACAGTTTGCTACAATGGAGACCTGTGTGAGGTCATTGTGTGAGATGGAGTGATGTACAAAGAGGGACGGAAACCCTGATTGGTATGTGCCGATTACGGGCATGCGGGTATGATGTCATGTGCAGCGCGCGTTAATGTGTGCACATCTGCGTGAGTTCTTCTACAACAACGCCTGTTGGTTTGCATCGGTGCACATCCGCGTGTGTGCATTTTGCAATAAAGCACATTAATGTCCATGTGTGTGTCTGTCTGTCGGTGTGCCTGTGTTTACATAGCGTCAGTGTGTGGGTGTTGTTTGTGTGTGTGATATCATCTGTTAACGTGTCTCGCCTTGCTCTGATCGTAACCCTGCAGCAACAGGAAGTAGGGCCGATCGGTGGGTGGAAGGATTAAACTTTGTGACATCACTTCCAGGTCACAGCTGGAGTAATCCTTCTCATCCTCCGCAAGCTGGTTCGTCCATCCAACCTTGGCTTCCACTTTTGAGGTTCTGATCTGGAAAAAAGGTCAAGACATAATGGGTAAAACGCCACATGGACAATCTCAGTGATTCAGTTTTTCCCTCACAATCATCATACCTCTCCTTGCTGTGGGTTGATCATGCTCACAATGTTCTTCCTGTCCTGCACTCCTCCATTGTTGTTGGGCCGGTTGCCAGACCCACGTGGGTCATTACTGACATGGTTACCTTGGCGACGCCGCAGACTCAGGTTCATGTCGCTGATGCTCCTCCTGAGCTCTGAATTTCTTCCACGGTGACCACGCTCGCTCTCCTCTGGTCCACCTGATGACACCCGGCTCCGCCGCCAGCGCACACCTGTTGCCCGGACAACCAAGGGGTCGGTCAGTTTGACCGCGTGTCATGAATAAAGAGTCCTGCGGATTGAGTTGTAAACATACCTTGATAGTTTTCTCCCTCCCTCTCGCGCTCCTTCTCTTTTTCCCTCTCTTCTCTCTCATAGTCGTCCTTTCTTTGGATTTCAAAGCGCCGCTCAAATCCGCCCTTGGGCCGCCACATGTCCACTAACAGCAGGGGACATTCCCATGGGGCAACGCTTCTCCTGCACTCCGTCTCCCATTTGATACCTCCATCTGGCTGTTGGATGGGCTTACCAATGACATCACACAACAGAAAGTCCTCTGGGCTGTGTTTTGGGAGAACTAGAAGGTAATGGCAGCAGGGAGGAGGACAGGGGGGGGGGGGGGGTAATTATTTGTCCATAACACCACGGTTTGTGTTTATATTAAGTCATTCCCTATTGGTTAAAAATGTTTGAGCAAACAATTCCAAGTAACAAGTCGCAGCAGAGGTCCACATGAGAGAAGATTTCCCTACCTGCGTCATCCGTCTCCTCCCTTTCCCTCTCCGTGTACCGGGTGATGACCTGGGCGATGAGCTGTCTGGCCGTAGATTGAATGTTGGCCAGAAGCGAGCGATAATTGGCCCCACTGGAAAGGGCATCCCCATAGATTTTGACCAGGCCCGGGGCCGAGGAAGAGGCAGGGGGCAAGTAGTGATGGGAGGAGGGGGCAGCGGAATGAGCCCAAAGCTCTCTCTCCCTGTCCCCCACCGCCCGGTCCCTGTCACTGTTAGAGCGCCCTCGCAGGAAGAGTTGGGAAAGGCGCTTAGTGCGGGACTGGGTCCCAGCAGGCCGGGGCCTGAGGAAGGCCGGGGAAGGGGACAGGGACGGGGCAGAGGAAGCCAGCGAGAGGGTAGAGTTAGAAAGGGAAGAGGAAGGAGCAGAGGGGGCCTCGTGGAGGGAGGCTGCGTCAGAGCTGGTGGTCGACCTGAGAACAGCACGGGGGGGGAAGACGGAAGGAGGAAAGAGGAAGGAGAAAGGAAGAGACAAGTCAGCTGTGAATTATGACGGCCTAAACAAGGACAAACAACAAGGACTAAAATAAAACAGGGAAGGGACGCCGAGTTGAGGGATACTAATGACAGTGGAAGTAAGATGGCGTCAACACATTAATTGTTAATTCAACAATCAGGCATTGAACCCAACCTAATTGCTAACTGGGTATGAAAGTCAACACATGGGATTAAAAAACTGAATTTGAGAGTAATTCAGACTCACTTGACAGAGATAGCGCTGGGCCAGCGACCCCCCAGCTTGGCAAAGTGTTTCCTGGGCGAGTTGATCCACAGACCTACTGGGAAATGGAGCTTTCTGAAGCGAGGGCTGCCAGACCCCTCCATCTGACAGGGTGCGAGAGAAGAACATGCAGATACTGAGCAGGATCTGTCGTTCTTAACTCAACAATCTACCAACAAATAATAATAATGTCATTTTCCGGGTTTCTTATTTATTTCATCTACCTCCACACTGTAGGGAAGAATGTGTGTTAGCGATGGAAGGATTGAAACAATATAACAATGGCATGATGTCACCATCAAAAAATATCAACAGGATACATCCAGCTGGTTGTCAACAACATGGTAAAAACAAAAAGAAAGACATTTACCAAGAACATCCCAATCAGCCCTGAAAATCATGGCGTGACTTTCCCATTCTCAAACAGGAAGCATCTTTAGTCGGCCTCAGATCCAGCTGTCCACTGACAGGGAAATACCCGCTGCAAAGGTCACCGCCTGTCCTTCTCTCAGCACTACTTCTATGTCGATTACAACCGAAATTTAGGATTGTACATGATGGTTTTGACCTCATGGTGTAAATCGGAGACCTATATAAAATCATTGTATCCCTCTGTGAAACTCTGTGAAGTGTTATTTTGGATAAGACTACTTGACTAATGTCTTGACGGGAAATGTGTGTCCACACCTTAAATGCGTGGTTATCAATCCTCACACACTGAGCATTCTGAGAATACTGCCCGAGATGGTGTGAGGATATACTTTGAAAATCATAAAAATGCTACACAAAAGAAACACCAATTCTTTTAAATGTTTGATATTGAATGCACTTACCCGCAGGTACTTCAGATTCTTTTCGAGTGTCTTCTGATGATTTTTTGCCACCAAAATGCAGAGCTCAAAGTAATCTAATAATCTTGTACGTTCCCTTTTCCCCGCGTTGAAATTCCATTGTCTCAAGGTGTTAACCCGTCACACATCTGCATACACATTGCTACTTCTTAAATAACTATTAGTCCAATTATATCTTGACTAAAATACCTTTAGGATATCTTATTTTTTCTCTCTAACTGGACAAAATCTGCTCCCTTTCTTCGTCTGACTCTCAGGCTCTCTGGGTCTATAGATAGAGAAACAGGCCCATTGTTCTCAGTGACAGAATTTCCTTCCTCAGCAGTGGACAACACCTATATCCTGACTGAGTTAGAGAGAGAGGCAGAAATTGGTAGAGAGCCAGAGGGTGGATTTGCACACACACATATGAGCCTTTAAGACATTTGTTGGGCTAATATACACTGCATTATACACCACAAAGCAATTTAGATCTCCATCGTTTGGTATGTCTGGATTAATCACAAATATCTTGTCATTGTTTCATCCTAATACAGTTAATGACAGCAAACTCTGTCATTAAGCCATTACAGAATTTGGCCATTCAAATCCGGTACAACTTTGTCATTTTAGTGATTAGTTTCGAAATCTTGACGCCTCAGAAAACACACAGACGGCTCAGTTTGACGTTTTGCTGAAAAGAGGATGAAGGAAGAATACATCCAGCGAGATAGGAAGCTAGACGGCGCAACGGAGACACCTGTGATCTTTGACCTCCTATTCGACAGGAAGATGGAGAAGAAAAGAGAAAGGAGACTGTGAGGGGACAGATCTGCTGAAATCTGCATATCCAGACCGAATATGTTATCAATAGAGGTAAACGACTTTTGTTCCATTTCAAAGGCTGCAGACAGCAGAGAACATCATGTGTCTTTAAAACGTTTCTTTACATGTTTACATATGTTATGCGTGGAAAACTTTTGATTTACTGGAAGCAACACAATTTTAAACGTAGAACAGCTTGAACCCTCTTTGTAAAATAATTGTAATAAACTTAAATCAGTACTCAATTTGTCAGCCACCTTCCAAGTCTACAAGTGGTGGACTATTGCTTTTAGTGGATTTTAACTCTTTATTATCTTTGCAGTCATAACCTGATTTATTTGTTTCTAAAAAGTAAACCATTAACAACAACTTACATTGAATGTAGCATGTTAATATGGAATCTCCACCAACATATTGCAGTTTTGAGTAGATTAACCTAATTGCAGAGGTAAGAAATATCCATAGTGAATATCAATAAGGCAACATTATTCATCCCATTGTTATTGGTCCTTTGTGTGTGTTAGATTAGATTTCTAAATGAATTCATTTATTTATAATGAGCAAGGCTACCGATTACTGGGCAGCGATTCAATCGGACAATTTCCCAGCAGCCTTTGCGCGGTCACGAGCGAGCGGTACGTTTCCGGAGCGCACCGAGGACACATCAAGAAACGTCCCAAGGTTAGCCGTCGGTGACTCTTAAACGTTCCTCTCTTTTCGCAGCCTTTACATTTACAAGTCTTAGTCTGTATGGTGTATGTATCTACGTAAAAGCGTGAAACCACCTGCCTTTTATTAAATGCGTTGGCTAACAATTACCAGATAACGCTATGTTAACAACGAGCTAACAGCTAGCATTATCTAACTGGCAACACTTTGTCAAGCTAACAAATGCCAACTATGCTAACTTCTTCTTTAAAGCTTCGTAGTCGTGCATTCTGTCTGTAAACATGTCGGGGTTGGATAGCTATTCGCCTGTTTGGTAAAGATACTAGCGTTTGATTGGTAAAAACAACGCTAACCTACATTTAACTTTGCCCCCAACGCTATATCTAACTTAGCCTAGCGGGCTAACATTGAGCTGACCCTGATAGCGTTAGCTCTGATCTGCCAACGTGTTTTCTCTACCCATATCAGCTGTGATCTAATTCAACCCCTGCCTTTTCCAGTGTCATTTCGACGTGTGACTGAAGATCAACAAGATGTCTGATACCGTGGAAGAGAAGATCAAGAACTACAGGACTGCTCCCTTTGACGCCCGATTCCCCAACACCAACCAGACCCGCAACTGTTTTCAGAACTACCTGGGTGAGGACGTGGATCGAGACGTTGCGATTTCCCCTCGAAAGACATTAAAATCACTTGGCAATAAGGATTCAACAACTAACAGTGAAATTCCATTACCCGTAAATAGGCGTACAGAAACGGTGTATTAGTGACTGTTTACATAAAACATGTTCATACATTTACAACCAACAAAGTAATTTAGGTGTTCATAACATTTGACGTGAAATCTAGATTTGACCTCCACATGGCATTGGTAGTATTTCATCTTTAATGAACTAGTATTAGCATATTTAACTACACAAACACGCTTATTTTAACTTTGCAGTGAAAATACAGGCGTATTGTATTTTTTGTGATGAAGAAAAGTGTGGTTTTGTGTGTCAGTTTGTGCTTTAAACAATTCTTGTTAATAATAAAAAAAGCTTTTTCTGTTAAACTGGACATTTTCATGCTATCTATCAATCTCTGTGGCTTCTTTTCATTGTGTTTTCAGTGTGAACACTGTGTCACTGTAACCTCGAACAATTTGTTATTTCTTTGCCCCAGACTTCCACAGGTGCAATAAAGCCCTGTCGGCCAAAGACCAAGATGTGGCTCCCTGCGATTGGTACCAGAGGGTCTACAAGAGTCTCTGTCCTATGAGCTGGGTAGGTCATATGGTTATGGTTAAGTGTTTCTCAAATGCTTAATATTGAAAGTGTTGGATAGACGGGATTATTTTATATGACCGAGACAGGATTACACCTTTTATTCCTCTTGCGCTGTTGTCTTGTCGTCCATTGTTGTACTGTCTGCTGTTATGCGCCAACCGCCAAGTCAAATTCCTTGTATGGCTGACCTATTATGGCAATAGTCTGTGCTATATGCTTGCTTTTTGTCTCTGTGATCAATTGATAATTGGTTATCTTTGATGTTCTTCGAAAAATCCAATAAGATGAATCATACAAATGAAGTTCTGACAATGTTCTCACCGCTGTTGCATTAGAAAGCTCCGATTAGGAAGTGAGCAAAACTGTTTTTCCCGAAGGGTATTTTTACAACATATATGTGACTATTCTGATACATAGTTTTCTCAAAACTAGGAACATTCAAATCTCTGGTGCTATATTCTAGGGATTGACATAAAACTGTTGCATGTGCGAACACAAGTTTTTCATATAGTTCTAATGTTTTCTCTAATTCCTCCCACAGGTGGCAAAATGGGACGACCAGATAGAGAATGGAAGTTTCCCAGGGAAGATCTAAGATGGCCAGCTGTTATTGTTTGGAACAGTCCAGTCCGGGACATTCTGTTACCTGCAGCTCAGTAATGGGCCAAAGGACATTGTTGTCAAGGATGCTACTGTTATAAACTTAAAATTTAAACTCTCACAACTTTGCATGTTGAGGACTGAAGTTATTTTTCCCGTCTCAATTGTAAACTACTTGTTTGCTTTGTTTAATCATTAAACACAGTACAAATTTAATCAATGTGGTTCATTATATTGTTTGATTTAATCTTTCTCCAAACACCCAGAACCTTTTTCCTAATTTCTAAAAATCAAACTCTGTGTAGATTTAATTGCAGTTATAACATTTTAATTTTCCCACTGGATTACCCAACATAGTCTTCAGCTGTCTTCAGTATTACAGGCTATATTTACATTGGGGATGAACAGGCTATTTAGTTATCTCTGAAACCCTCAGGTCTCTGCTGTGAAAATCTAGATAACAATAACAGGTATTTTCCAGCAGATGGCAGTGCTGAAAGACAAAAGTGTTTGATGTAATGTTCTGTTTTCACCACACTGAGGCGCTCTGATCAACCAGTGTACACGTTTTATTATGATGAGGCTTATTGATGTGGGGTAATTTGAGGGATTTTTCAGTACTTTAACTGGTTCAAGTCATGACAACTAGTGAATCTTAGCATTTCATTGGAGCTGAATGTGCAAAAAGTGAACATAATTAATTCCACTTCTCATTTAGTACCTGAATTCAAAAGTAGTAATATAAACAAATCAGCAATGTGGACGATTAACACATTTCTTGCTTAAAATGCATCAGTGTCTACAATTTCTACACATCAGACAGACAAATTAAAAGGAACTTTCTCCTTAGATCTTAACCAGTATTTTACTGTTTACTTCACTTTTCTACTGTACGGGACTTCAACCGTTTTGGTCTCTAGTGACAAGCCGAGACTTCTAATTACGTTGTTTTACAGCTTTGTATTTAAGTTACAACATTGACACGTCTTCTCAGCACAGCTGTAATCATCTTTTGATTAACAGTTCACCTGAGTTGTGCCCAAATATGTCCTGACACGCCACAGAGCGAGTGTTCATTGATTTTTTTTTTTACCAAACTGATTCCTCTTCACCCTCTATTTGTTGCATGAAGGCGAGGGGGTATTTCATCCAGAAATGGATGTATAAACGTAGAGCCCTTTGTGTGTCTGCCAGAGAACAGTGAGTGTGATCGTCTGGTCAGTGCCGACGTGAATCCAAAGGGGGCAAATCCAAAGGTGGCGTTGCTGCACCAAATATCACACCGCTTCATCCCTCGGTTTATTATAACTACATGTTAAGAATGTGTAATTTCGCACAGCGCCCAACTACCAAATATACCTCAAGTGCCACATTGAACTAAAAGGAAATGTGTAAAATGTTATACAAACATTTAAAATGTTTATGATGGATGCAGAGTCATTTTAAACGTGATTTGACTGCGTTTGAATATTATCCTTGATGATGGATTGTCCAAATACTATTAATCATTGAGGAGCTTGAATATTCAAAATACTGTATATGTAGTGAAAGTGTGAGGAAAGAAGTTTAAAGATGCCACATTGTTCGAAGTCAATATTGCCACATACACTTTTCATAATTAAATAATTGGCAAGATTCCATCTTTTTTAACCCTCAGGCTACAGGATGTGGTTTGTAGTGGTGTGTCTGTGTGTGTGTTGGTGTTCAGGAGTGCAAAAAAGTGTTGGGAGTGCCCCTCCCCTTCCCCCTCCTATCAATGTCTTATAATTTAATTTGCTCACTCAGGCCGGATCACTGGAGGAGATACTGCGGGATCGGTTTCCCCGGCAACGGCTCCCAGGATCCAGATGGGATGCTGGGACAGATCAATTTAATTTCAGAAGAAATGAATAAATACTGTTGCAGACCCTCGGGCACTGAGCCTGAACATTTGCACGCTCCCCTCTCTCACAGTTCCTCTTTTTTGAGGTTATGTCAAGAGTGAATGACGGGATTGTGGAGTATTACACAAAGAGTATTACACAGAAAGGAGAGGAGACACACACACATTCAACAGAACCTGAAAATGTTACAATACGTATCCGGTCTTCTCTTTCGAAGGGTCTGAGGTGTGTTTGTGTGTGTATTTTAGTTATAAAATACATGATTACATATTATGATGTTTGCCGACAGGGTCAGTCGTGGTTTACTGAACTTAAGGACATTTTTGTTTAATTTTTTCTACTTTAAACGTCCTTTTCAAATTGATAACACAATATAATTAACAAATACTGTAATTACACTGCATGATTATGGATAAAGAGAGTACTTGATTGATCCCATGGTGAAACAGTTCACAGTATGAATTAAATCCCCTTCACCAAGTGCAAGTGCAACATTAAGTATTGTACACATTTATTAATCTCCTTTAGTATGATTAACATTATTCTGAAACGAGCTATTGTGCATAGTAAGAACTTTTACTTTAGCATAATTTTTGATGGTAAGACCTGAACATAATTGAAATATTTGAGTACTACTACTACAAATGATCCCGTTTCCACCCATTTGGCTCAGACTTAAATATGAACTAATTACTTATCTAAAAGTTACTTATCTAAAAGTTTACATTATCAAATGCTGAAATGTTCTAAAACATTCTATCAGTATTGACGTTTATCATAGTGATAAACGTCAATTTATCACTGATAGTTGAGACCAACTTAAGACACACTGAGAAGTTGACACTTCGTCCCTTCAGGCCTCCCTCATAATCATCATTATGGCCTTCAACAAGATCCTCCATGTTTTACACCGCTTATCCTTAGAGGATCAGGACGTGGAACACGCTGGACAGGTCAGAGGCCTGACATAGAGACAGACAACCATTCACACACTTACAGCACCTTCTAGAGTCACCAACTAACCCAAGCTGCATGTCTTTGGACCAAGTACCCGGAGAGAAGCCTCGCCGGCACGGGGCCAACATGCAGACTCCACACAGAAGGGCCGGCCGGCCGGTTTGAACCCGACCTTCTCGGCGTGAAGCGACACTGCTGGATAATCTTTTATTTAAAGACCTACGTTTTTAGTGAAATGGATTTAGAAATGAAATGTCCCCGTTGACTCTGGAAACCTTGTCAAATTCCAGACCGGGATTTAGCTGGAGATTAGACATAGTTGATGAAGAATTATGAGGGGGCCCCCATTTGTTTGTCACCCACTGAGCCGGTCTCATGATTTCTGCATGACAAGGCTTTGTATCTGAGCTGCGTGCACATTGCCTTTTGTTCTGCCGCCCTGGTGGGCAGCCGACGGGTCGGCCGGACAGAGACTCCTTTCAGCGGTGCCTTTTGTTCTGGGCCGCGGTGCCGAGCTGGAGGTTTACACTCGCCCGAGCACGTACGCAACCCCTCCCCTAACTTCAGCGCAGGGGAAATGTATCAGCGCTGATGCAAACGGCATTACAACACGACGCGAGTGAGTCGGCTGGTTTGGGAATTTTTTTACGCACAGGGCGGCATTCTTGTGCGTACAGAGGAGAGAGCATGAACAAAATAAAAGACAGTGCTGAAAAGGTGCTGGGGAACCTGTGCTGCTTTCTATACATATGAAAAAAAAGAGAGGAAGGAGGGCTGAACATCTGCCTGAGCGTACTGCATCTGGACAGGACTAATTTACTGAATATAAAGACTGACACAAATCTCACATAACGGTAAAAACAAACGTACACAGATCCATTTGTGTGATTTGTCACTGTGATAAATGTGAAATGTGAAAATATGTGGATCCATTTGAATTGGATTATAACATGTAAAGTAGCCTTCTGACACGTCTCTACAACATGTTTTAAATGCAACCCCAAAGAGCATCATCTGCAGCTCCATCGCACAATGTGGACTATTAAAAGTCTTGATTCTGATGAGTTCATGCTTCGCATTGATAAAAAAGGAAGCAAAGCTCCAGTGATGTCAGAGAAGCTCATTTGAGCTCATGATTTGAGAGAGCAGAGGAAAGGGGGCGAGTACGGAAGCAGAGGGAGGGGTTCACTGTCACTTTGAACAGCAGCTGCTGGTGAATTCAGTAAGAGGAGAAAAGTGCCCTCCTCTACCTCGGTCTCGATCAGGTCCGTGGTTTACGTTCATCCTCACTGGAAGGACTTCGGCTCGGATTCTTAGCCCTTTTATTCACGACATATTATTCATATTGTGCTTGTTTGTGTTTGAATTCAGGTTTCTCTGCTGAGTGTTTGCACAGAGGTGTGTTGAAGGAATGAGAGACGGCTTCCTGCTGCAAACTGAAGTGTTCCTGTATTCTTTCTTCTAAACACCTTCTATCCAAAGGCAAAGATGGAGCGTATGGAGGATGATAAGGTAAATGCCCCTGTGTCCTCTTCCTACTGCTGCATAGGTGGACTGTGTTGTTCTCGGTTATTTCACCAGACTTACTTCAACAGTTTTCTTCACATAACTAAAATATGCTAACACATCCTCTAAAGCTGTGTTAGCTATATTTCCCGTTTGCCATTGTTGTTTTTATTCACACATTGCTGTGTAAAAACACAATGAGTTTTTTTACGAGTCACCGACTGGCAATTCTGTATTTTTCCGTTCTCCAGGAGTTGAGTTAGAGAGGTAGAGCGAGACCGGTGGGAGGCAAGTTTCAACTTGTGTGCTTTAGTTTCTAGCTTTTATTTTTGCAATCCTCATAAAAGTGCAATGAGGGAACAGTAGGAGAACTAGAACAAAGTGATTGACAAAAGCACAAATACAGGACGAGGGGAATAGGGTTAGCTAGCGTGTACTCGAAAGCACAAAATCATCATAACCATACGTGTCTCTCTTTATCATCTGGGGTATATCGCACTCAGGAGGATAAAATGTACAGTCAAGTTCGTGATAAGAAAAGACACAAGAAATGTTAAATGCAATATGGTGAATCAACACGAAGCGAGAAGGACAATTAATTTTCTAAAAGAGATAATACGTTTTGAGAAAGACAGGCACAAAGATTGCAAGATGACATGAATGTGGAAGTTGATGTGGAAAGAAAAGATGTGTCAAGATTCTTTCTTTGAATATTGAGAGGGACCAACTGCTGAAACACAGGAACTGCATGGAGTAAGTTACCAACATTTCTATTTACTATTAAAAGGGCGAATGGGAACTGACCTCATTAACAGAGCGAAGCTCATGAACTGAGGTTTGAACTACATTAGTAGTCACATCACATGCTCTTCACGAGCATGCAGCGTTTGATTTGCCTTTTAAGGTCATCTTAGTAGACCTGAGGTGTCAGCGTTGATATTATTGTGCGCTTTGGGTTACATATTGATCACACCTATTTCACGGCTGATTCGTTAATGTCAGCCGCTTAGAGCTGCTATAGTAAGATGCTCATCAATGCAATCAACGTGATTAAATATTGTTCAATATGAGCGCACCTCTTCCTCACGCACACAAGCCCTTCTCCAGTGCAGCGCGACACCTCAAGACAAGCAGCATTTCTAACGCTGCGGTTTATCAGCGGGGACCTGCTGCCAAAATGTGGTTGATTGTACTCTCAAACAGTAGCTCACTTTTTAAATTCATTTTTATCCTTATCCTTCTTATGCGTTTGTTTTACTAACTCTGTATTTCTCCTTCGCTATCACTTTATCGTGTATGCAGCACTTCCTTTGTGCCAAACTGTCAAAGACACAAAAAAAAAAGACATGAAGTCAACGCGACTTGAAGCCCGGAACACTCAGATAGTTTTAGTTCCGATCACAAGGCCACGCTGTACCAGAGCAACACGCCGAGGCTTGATTTCCACTGATTATCACTATCTCACTGTGGTGAAATGTTTAAACTATGCGATGTGTCACTCTTACTCAGTGTTTTTTTTTTAAAGATGATGAAAGAACAGAGAGTTTGTATCAGGTGAGGCTGAGGCCTTGAACTGCCTTTCATCACGTCGGGAGGAGTTCATTAGTAACATAATGTCCGGTACGCTTGTTAAGCACTTTGTAACTTTGCTTGGAAAGGTGCTATATAAATAAAGTTATTATTATTGTGACATTGGGGCGAATCCGTTTATTGTTCTAGCTTTCTGACTTAAGTGTGATTAGAAATTGTGCAAAACAACTAATTATCATATAGTGAAGTTTGTGATGGAACATTTCTTTATTAAAAGCAATGGATTTCCTTTTAACATTGAGCCTATTTGGACCTTCACGCAGGATGCAAAACTATTCGGAAGCTTGGTGTATTAAAGTAGACATAAAACAGATATAGTCTCTGGGTTGGTGGTCAAATAAAAAATGAAAATAGAGGAGGAATTTCCATTTTGGATATGCTACCACCAGATAGTTCATTTGAACCAATTACTCCGATCATGCTCGTCTGGATACCTTTAGGTTTAGCTCGTTTCCCTCCCCAGCGGGCCTTGTTAGGGATTATTGTCTGGCGTATTAGCTTGTCAGTATGACCCACTTTAATTCCGAAAAGCAGCGAGGTAATAAAACACTCACAATAGGATCCAGTCTTTTTTCTCTCAAGGTGTCTCTGGCTACTTAGCGGAGAAATACCTCAGAGCTGCAAATCACGGAGCATGTGCCGTGCTGGAACACCTTCCACAGCACTGCTGCAGAGAGCCCACGTAGAAAGGCTCATTCTGTGTGTGTGTGTTACCAGTGCAACTATAAAACAACAAGAGCTTTGTAGAGCCAGAGACAGGCCATGTGATTGTACACAGAGTCCTTTTGCTCATTGTTGCATTGCTTTCATAACGCCTGTGTTTTTTTCTCTCTCTCAACAGCCGAAGAAGAAGTTGACCTTTTACCTTTTCTACTGCGTTTCGACAGCGGTCATTGGCTCGCTTCAGTTTGGCTACAACACCGGGGTCATCAATGCACCTGAGGAGGTGGGTTTTGTGTGTGTTTTTTTTTGGGGATGCGTGTGTGTGTGTGTGTTTGCTGGATGAGAGGGATTAATACTCATATTCTAACATGAATATTATAATAACCAAAAGGGTAAAGTAACGTAATTTCTCATCCTTTTGTTTTGTATCGGTGGTTTTTCAAAGAGGCCCTAAACTCGAGTGTCTGGTCTCGTTTGTAACCAGAGTGCCAGAAGTTACACTGCCTCCGTGTGGATGTGTCAGAAACTCCCACAACAAAATCAAACTGTTTTGAGCGTAAACAACAACATGAGAGAAACACTTACTTAAAATGAGTCACCTCTCATCTCGGCACTCTTTTCTCTGTGTTCTGACAGAAACTGCGCAGGTTTTTCCACAATGTGTCGCTGGAGCGCACAGGGGAGCCTTTCAGCCCAGGGACCAACACCATGGTGTGGAGCTTTGCTGTTGCCATCTTCAGCGTTGGAGGCATGGCGGGGTCTTTCTCTGTCGGAGTGTTGGTCACCAAATTTGGCAGGTGAGAACTTTCAGAATAGACGCTGCAATGACAGACAATCGGTCTTGTGATCAGGATTACGGGGACAATTTGAATATTGCAATTTTGCTTTCTTTCATTTCCTTTGGCCTGTTCGAAATCTGGAAAATTATGATTTCTTACTTATTTTTGAATTGAGAAGACTGTTTGGACATCTTCTTGTTTTATCAAATAATATGCTTGTACATACTATTTGGTCATCCCTTCTGTAGTTGCTTTACTCACTCACGTCTCTCTTTCCCAGACGTAAATCCATGCTGCTGGCCAATGTTCTGGCTCTGATTGGCGGGGGCTTCATGGGACTGTCGGCTCTGTGTAGATCTTATGAGATGATCATCATCGGCCGCTTGATCATCGGAGTGTTCTGCGGTCTGTGCACCGGACTGACGCCTATGTACGTGGGCGAGATCTCTCCCACTGCTGTCCGAGGAGCCTTCGGCACACTGCACCAGCTGGGTGTAGTCCTTGGCATCCTGGTGGCACAGGTATAACGCTGTGGCCGTGTAACTGTGACGACATTATTGATGCTGTAAGCGTATCCCTCCCGACAGATGCTTCTTCACTTGACTGATTGTAGGATTTATTATAAGCTGCGTATAAAGCACAAAACAACAAGCACGTGTTAGCTCCGTACCGTTAGCACGTTAGCACCACGGTACTAGCCTACACACCTAGCTGTCCATTATTTATGCTGTTTAAAAACACATACAGAGTTATTACAGTTGTTAATTATTAGAATTATTAAAACAATAATCAACCTTGTGCCTTTTCGGGTGGGGGGTAACAAATACCGTAAACATTTAACGTTAATTATTTTCTAAACCGTCAAATTCGTACTTTTGCTCTGTCTTCGCGCGCACGTTTCTACTTCCTCTTTGGTTCGGAGCGCCGCCTTCAGAATAAAAGCGTTTGACTTTAAACATGAAATACACGAAACTAAGAAAACAAACAAAAAGATGCAACATTCATTGATACGCAAAAATTGGGTTAGTTATAGATGCTTTTATGTTTTGATTGTGGAAAGCTTTAGATTTCTGCAGAATAATGTGGGCGAACAATAACAGAATTTCATGTCGAAACATTGCAACGCTCTTCTGTAATAGGGGAGAATGGGTTTGGTTGTCACACTTTCTAGTCTAGTGTGAATTGCTCATCATCACATCTTTCAACAGTATTTCCTACATTGCAGCTTAAGGTGTTGGCTTTACATGTGTATCCTTCCCATTTACCAACTTATTGTAACAAAGCGGTAATTAACTATCAAAGACACTGACACATTGTGACAAGGTGAACTGGAGGACAGCTCTGCGACTCACCTCGTATAGGTCCATCATGAGTCTGTCTATCTATTTTAGATCTTCGGCCTGGAGTTCCTTCTCGGCTCTGACAACTTATGGCCTCTGCTGCTGGCCCTCACCATCCTGCCGGCCATCCTGCAGAGCATCATGCTGCCTTTCTGCCCTGAAAGCCCCCGGTACCTGCTCATTGTCCTCAACCAGGAAGAGGAGGCAAGAAAAGGTCCGTTTTGAGACATTATGCCAACTAGACGGCAACATGAGGTTTTAATGTTACTGCATCTAGAATTGCTCCTGCTTTTTTAATGACCTGTGATTCATTAAAGTTTTACCACATGGTGTTCATGGTTTATACACGTCATGTATGCACAAAACTGTCTTTGCTTGCTCTGTATTCATCCATCCCTTCTTCTCTTTGTAGCGCTAGTGCGTCTGCGCGGCTGTGAGGACGTGAGCGATGATATTCAGGAGATGAAAGAAGAAGGGATCAAGATGGCGAGGGAGAAGAAAGTGTCCATCCTGGAACTCTTCCGCTCCCCAAACTACCGCCAACCAATCATCATCGCTATCGTCCTGCAGCTCTCTCAGCAGCTGTCTGGTATCAACGCTGTGAGTAAACACCAAGGCCTACAATGGAGCAGAGAGTGAGAGATATGATCATCAAGTGTCAGTCCCATTTCATCTCATACATTAATCTTTAAAGGAGCATCAACTGAAATGATTCAATTGCGTCTGACTAGCACATGACGTGATGCTTCTTGGCTCCAGGCAATGTTAGATTGAGTGGAATAATCCGAGCCACTAAGGGTCGACAGAAGCGGCGAATACGAAAGGTGTTTGGTAGTTTATTTGCTAATAAGGTTATTTCACCACGCTGACTAAATGTGTTAGCGTCGCCTCGTCCGACCTGACAATCACAGAGTGGAGTTGCAACGGCCAGCGGCAAAAGGCCGCAGCATTGATTGAACTGACATACATACATTAACACTCATGACCCGTCTCCCTCCCCAGCACAGCAGCTAGGAGAGCTAAAACATATTATTATCATATTATTGTATGAATGTGAGTTATAACAAAAACTAAAAAGTTCAGAAAAGCGTCCTACCCAGCACTAAACCTAGTGTGCGCATGTATGTGTGCACTTATAAGTACCATTAGAAGCTAATCTCATTACCATTTTGGGGCATTTAGCTGCTAAAGAGCCCAATATTGTCAGGTGGATGTTGATGAAGAGCAACAAAAATCTTTATTGTAAGATTGATGTCAACACAGATAACATAAATATTGGTGTGTGTATTTTGATGCAATTGTTTGCTGAAATGTTCGCTTTATCAACCTTAAAATGCTTGTCGATTGGCTGCCAGGTGGCCAAAGAATGAATCAATGCAGGTTTAAAATATAATAAGTACCAACTCATTTTATTAACTAAATACGTGGTTACTGATAATAGTCTTGCTTCCCCTCCAGGTGTTTTACTACTCTACAAGTATATTCGCCACAGCTGGTGTTTCTCAGCCCATCTACGCCACCATAGGAGCTGGAGTTGTCAACACAGTGTTTACTGTCGTCTCTGTGAGTTTCTGACTGCACATTCACTGTCTCAGCAGGAATGATTCATATCAACAGGATTGTTCATTTTTATTTTTCTCATTTTTACCGTAGCTCTTCCTGGTTGAACGGGCGGGACGAAGGACGCTGCACCTGATTGGTCTGGCTGGAATGGCCATTTTTGCCGTCGTCATGACGATCGCCCTGTCTTTAGGGGTGAGTGGAAATGAAAAAAACAGCGTTCCCGTTGCTCCCTCATTAAATCTCGTCCTCACTCTCTTCGTTTCTCTCTCTGAGCAGCAGACAACCCCGTCTCTGAGCTACCTGGCCATTGTGGCTGTGTTTGGCTTTGTTGCCAGTTTCGAGATGGGCCCAGGTCCGATTCCCTGGTTCATCGTGGCTGAGCTCTTCTCCCAGGGGCCCCGACCTGCTGCCATGGCTGTCTCTGGTCTCTCCAACTGGACCGCCAACTTCGTGGTGGGGTTGGGTTTCCCTAAGCTGGCGGTATGGGAAACATTTACTTCAGCGAAAAAAACAAAAAAAACGTTCAGCGGTGCGAGCTGTGACTTTTATTAACTGGCATCTCTGTCTTCCTCTCTCAGGAACTGTGTGGTCCTTACGTCTTCATCATCTTTGTGATCTTCCTCATCCTGTTCTTCATCTTCACCTTCTTGAAAGTGCCTGAGACCAGAGGAAGGACCTTTGACGACATTGCTCAGGGATTCGCAGCGAAGCCCTCCGTGGAGCCTGAGGCGGTGATCGCCGGCCTGACGGAAGGCAAAGATCCTGCCCCCATGTCCCCCACCGACAAGGTTCCCATGGTGAATCTTTCTTAGAGAGGAGAAGGTACAATACAGACACATTGATATCGTAAGGAGCTATATTTCATAACGTGGGCAACTAAAAACTTAAAGATTGAACATTTACAGATGCTAAATTCACTGATTGAATTCTCTCTAATCCCCCTTCAAACATGGGGTCAAACTTCACTGAATTACTAGTACTTAACATTTGTTGACATCCCCGCTGCCAGCTCAACGCATACTGCCTTAAAAGAGGATCAACATATGTTGAGTGTTAAGTCCCGGGTCTCCGGCTACCACCAGTGTTAAAAGGTTGTGGGATTTGGGGGGGGCGGGTAAGGGGGTTACGTATTGAGGTCAAGCTTGAAAAGCCGGTTTTGCAGCCCGATAGTTTGACCTAAAAAAAAAAAAACACTGACCCGCTGTCCTGTCTGCCTGCCTGATGTGCTTTGCTGCCAGCGGCAGGGAGTTTTCTTCAATAGACGGAATAAATATAGAGGTGTTACAATAAGTCACTCTCCCTTTCAGGTGAATAAAAAAAAGTATAGACTTAAAATACATATATTTAATGATGTAAAAAAATATATATATATTTCTCCTTGTCCTTTAGAATCCCCTGAGAGTTTAGGGTTTGTGTTTTGAAGTAATGAAAATAATATGACTTTTCTATAAATGAGTAACGTCTGCTTTTAAGAATTTTATTTGTATGATGACAAGGTGTAGTTCAGCTCTAAAAAAACATGTCGTCGCCAGCCGTTTATGCATTTCAGCAGTTGGGTACCAAAACTCAGGTGGCTTATTCTTTATACTCTGCTTCTAACTGTGTGCATCATCACTGCTTCAAGCTCTCTTGACATCAGCATGTGGTAGTAAGTTCTGCACGGTCATGCAATTAAATATCTCACAACCTTTAAAATAGTGTTACGTCAAATCAAAAGTGGTCATCAGTATTGTTTGAGCGATGCATTTAACACAATCACAATTGCACTGATATTTAATTATTATCAACTCTCATGCAGCTCTAAACAAGATATTGGCAGTGAGGTGAAATATAAACACTAAATCAATTATATTTCTAACACAAAAAAAATCTCTTTGTTTGTAGTTTTCTAATATCATGTGTAAATATTTTAGAATCTCCAGTTACTGCATCACGGCCAACGATTACAGTTCAGTATGCATGCTTATAAATGCTGTGTCATTGTTTGTACAAGTGCACCTTTGTCTTTCCGCACACTCTTAAGGAAGCACTTTTCTTTGTTCTCATCAGCGTGTTAGTTTTGCACTTTGACAGTCGGACTACTTTCTAATGATAGTTTATTCTGTGTGTGGCTCTCTGTAAATATACTGTACATGTTAGGATGTGTACGGTGTTTTGTTGTTATTTGTGCCTTATAACACTGTTTCATTGTATATCCACTGATTGTCTTGCACTGTTAATGTGGTGGATGTTTCTCAACAGTAAACAGAAGTGCGAAGTCACATGAGAGATAACCTTTACTGCCCTCTGTTCCTCCTCTGTACTAGTACGGGCGACACTTGCTTTGAGAAACTAAAAAGGAAATTGTCTTTTAAGGGAATGTTAGTCCTGAATCACGAGCATAACGGTCCGTGATGCTACGAGTCAAAGCAATGAATGTTTTATGTAAATTCAGCCTCTCTGCCTAAGTGGAAGTGTGAGAGGTTTGTCTGGTATTTCGTCTGGTCGACACTTGCACACTGCGGTAACTCCATTTCCTTTTTCTGCAAAACCTCAGTCAGCTGTACAGTTACACAGAGCTGGGCAACTTGAAACACTGAAATAAAGCCATAAGTGGAAAAGCAGACTTCAGTTTCTTTTTCTGGTGTTGAACAGTTGGGTTTAAAAATATGTATTCAGTGTTGCGATGGGCGTGAGGGAGGAGTTACGCGCTCAGATTTCCTCTTGGGAAGGCCGAACCAGAAGAACACACATGTACAGACAGCATTTTACCTCCAAGAGGAATTCCCCTGCTGTAAAATTCCGCTTTCAGATCGCAGCTCTAAAGAAAACATTCTTTATAAATTACAGGTCTTTTGTGCAGTTGTATGTGATTTATTTCCAACAACGATTTTTTATTTGGTCACAAGATGCCAACATGATGACCTCTTGACACGACAACCTATAGAAGCACAAAGGAACGAGTGATTTTTGGCCGATTTTGGTCAAAAACTTTCATAATTAAGTTTAACAATGAATTGAGCAAAGGTTAACAATTAACTGACTAATCAACTAATCATTCCACCTCTAAAAAAGTATTTAGGATCGCACATGGAACCAGTTCTTGCTGAACCAGCCTGAAATGAATGAAGTTTTAATTCCCCGCTAAATGGCTGCAGGGCCGTGATCTAACTCGCCCTTTTACTTTGCGTCTCGGAGCAGAGAGCCTTGGGTACGGGGCCTCCGGCTGGCTGGGAACGGGGCCAGCTAACTGTGTCAGACAAATAGGCAACATCTCCCTGCAAGAGTCTACTGAGGTCTCAGTCAGTGCAGTGAACTGGGGCATGAAAGCCCATCAACAAGCTGCAGTACTGCGGCCTGACCAGCAAGTGGCGTGCGAGAGCCAGAGGGGGTCTTCAGCTGTGCGTGTATGCGCGTGTGTGCGTGCGTGTGCGTGTGTTTTTGGATGAGTACGTGTCTTGATACTTCCTGAGAGGAGGGGAGGAGGGGCGTGTTTAGGAAGAGGGAGGATGAAGAGCATCCAAAAAATGTGTCTTAATTGTTGGAATGCATTAGATGCATTCCAAGTATTGTTCTTCTAATCTTTATTGTTGGAATGCATTAGATGCATTCCAAGTATTGTTCTTCTAATCTTTATTTGTTGGAATGCATTGAGATGCATTCCAAGTATTGTTCTTCGAATCTTTATTCTTCATCTTCATCCTCTCCTTCTATTTCTTCCGCGGCACCTTTCAACTCCTTCACACTTTCAGCTATTAAAACCGTTCAAATATTAAAATGTTCAGCTCCTTTCTGGCTTGAGGGCTATGACTTTTCAGCTTTCTACCTCTTATGCTTGAATTTATATAAATCAATAATCATTAATATTTTAACATGGTTTTCAAATGGAGTTTGCTTTCAAATCCTCCTAAACTTCTTCAACTTTCAGATTTTTCAGCTTCACCAATCTTTCAGCTACAGACACCATTTAAACTTTCAAATGTTGACACAAGTCTCAACTATTTTATGAAAAAAACTGCTTGTTGATATCTATTGTACTTTTTTCATAATCACTGATTATGTTTCACTAGTTTTTCGCTCCGTTTCTGACTTTTACATGAGTGTGTATTGCGTCTGCTAGAGGGGGACCTCGCGGGCTAGAGTGTGGGGCATCGCAGAAATCTGGTTAAAAAAGTATGGAACTTCTGTCCTTGCAGCCAAAGTATACACTCTAGAGGCTTCATTTCTTCAGATTAATGAGGGTATGGTTGTGCTGATTGGATTAATGTGTTCATGGAATCCCAGAGTTTTTTAGTTTTGGCGCAAGGAGTGTTTGAGTGACACAACCTCTGCCAAAAGCCCCATAGGCTCCAATACAAATCTGCCGACATATTTCTCACAAAAATCCACAAGGTACACGTTCTGTCAACGGCCATAGGAGCCGTATTTATTACCGGACAGACATAAAAAGCACATCCACGCGTTCGGTAGAGTCTTGGGTCTCATACAAACGCCGTATTTTTTAGATAGCTGTTATAGTTTTGCGCTGGTTCTCATTTGTGTGAGGTGTGGATTCTGTGTAACTTGCTGCCATGTCTCTGTCTTTTGCAGCAGCCGTCTTAATGAACAGGTGCGGCGTTGTCGTGGTTACGAGCACTCACACGCTGCAGGATCTGTCTGTGGCTCACAGCTGCTCCTTGTGACCTGATTAGTGGAGTCACATGACGCAGCTATGCTTTCTGTCAACAGACCAATATGATAAAGACACTCGCCCCCCCTCCCCCCTCCACCCTGACCTCTTCTCACTGTTAATCACTCTCAGTCAGTATGTCTGTCTATTTCTCCTCCTCTCTCTCTCCCTCTATCTCTTCCTCACCACCCCTCCTTTCCTCACCCTCTCACCCTCCCTCCCTCTATCTACACCCCCCCCAACCCACCCAATCCAATAATTTCAAAATAAAAGCCACATGGAGGGAATTTTTACTGTAATGTTTGTGATGAGGCCTATTAATTAAAAACTTCTTAGTTTGAATAACAAACATTCTGTCTCCCACTACGAATATTACTCGTACTTCTAGTACTACAACTGATACTTCTACTACCATACTACTAGTATTTCTACTGCTATTAATACTACAACTACTACTAATGTTATTACAAATACGACTATGGCTAATAGTATTACAGCTGTTTCTACTGCTATTGATACTAAACCTACTATTACTGCTTATACTGCTAGTACTACTAATACCACAATTATAACTAATACTACTACTAATATTACTACAAACAATTTTAAACAAATTTAAGCTCCTGCAACTTCTGTTTTTAGAAAATCTATTGAAATTCAGCTTCCCCACTTCCTGTATTTTCAGCAGTTCTTTAAAATAATTTCAGCTATTCTTATGCCTCTATCAACAGCAATTTTTCACTATTCATTTCTGTATTTTTTTGCAATATTTCAAATTTATTTCAGCTGTTTTCATTTCTGCTTTTTCAGCAAATCTATTGAAATTCCTTTCAGCTTCTCCCATTTCTGTATTTTCAGCAATTTCAAATTCATTTCAGCTTTTCTAATCTTTTCAGCAAATGTATTCAAATTCCCTTCAACTTTCTGTATTTTCAGCTATTTTCAAATATTCAGTGCAGCTTTCAGCTTTTTGCATTCCAACGCATTTTCAGCAGGAAATGCATTTTCTAGTTGTTGGAATGCATTGAGATGCATTCCAAGTATTGTTCTTCGAATCTTTATTAGTTGGAATGCTTTAAGCATTCCAAGTATTGTTCTTCTAATCTTTATTTCAACTTATTATTATTCTATTTCTTCCGCGCCCGCTTTCAACTCCTTCACATTTTCAGCTATTTAAACCGTTCAAATATTAAAATATTCAGCTCCTTTCTGGCTTGAGGGCTATGTATGTTCAGCTTTCTACCTCTTAAGCTTGAATTTATATAAATCAGTAATCATGAATATTTCGTCTAATGGTTTTCCTATGGAGATCGTGTTTAAATCCTCTTCAACTTCTTCAACTTTCAGATTTTTCAGCTTCGCAAATCTTTCAGCTACAGACACCATTTCAACTCTCAAATGTTCACACAAGTCTCAACTATTTTATGAAAAAAACTGCTTCTTCATATCTATTGTACTTTTTTTATAATGACTGATTATGTTTCACTAGTTCTTCGCTCCGTTTCTGACTTTTACATGAGTGTGTATTGCGTCTGCTAGAGGCGGGACCTCGCGGGCTAGAGTGTGGGGCAGCGCAGAAATCTGGTTAAAAAAGTATGGAACTTCTGTCCTTGCAGCCAAAGTATACACTCTAGAGGCTTCATTTCTTCAGATTAATGAGGGTATGGTTGTGCTGATTGGATTAATGTGTTCATGGAATCCCAGAGTTTTTTAGTTTTGGCGCAAGGAGTGTTTGAGTGACACAACCTCTGCCAAAAGCCCCATAGGCTCCAATACAAATCTGCCGACATATTTCTCACAAAAATCCACAAGGTACACGTTTTGTAAACGGCCATAGGAGCCGTATTTATTACCGGACAGACATAAAAACACATCCACGCGTTCGGTAGAGTCTTGGGTCTCATACAAACGCCGTATTTTTTAGATAGCTGTTATAGTTTTTCGCTGGTTCCCATTTGTCTGAGGTGTGGATTCTGTGTAACTAGCTCCCATGTCTCCCCTTTTGCAGCCGCACAGGAGTGACGCTGTTGGCGTCACTAGCACTCACACGATGCAGGGGCTGTCTGAGAATCAAAGCTGCTCCCTTGTGACCTAATTAGTGAACTCAAATGAAGGCAGCTATGCTTTCTGTCAACAAGACCCAATATGATAAAGACACTCGCCCCCCCTCCCCCCTCCACCCTGACCTCTGCTCACTGTTAATCACTCAGTCAGTCAGTGTGTCTGTCTATTTCTCCTCCTCTCTCTCTCCCTCTATCTCTTCCTCACCACCCCCTCCCTTCCTCACCCTCTCACCCTCCCTCCCTCTATCTACACCCCCCCACCCCACCCAATCGAATAATTTCAAAATAAGAGCTCCATGGAGGGAATTTTTACTGTAATGTTTGTGATGAGGCCTATTAATTAAAAACTTCTTAGTTTGAATAACAAACATTCTGTCTCCCAACCCCCCCTCACCCAATTCCATCATTACAAACTAAAAGCTTCAATGATTATCTGTACCTTAACCATGAAGCGGTTTCGTTGAAATACGCATTGCTCTTTCAAATACTACTATAACCACTACGAATATTACTAGTACTTCTAGTAGAACTACAACTGATACTTCTACTACCATACTACTAGTATTTCTACTGCTATTAATACAACTTCTACTAATGTTATTAAAAATACTACTATGGCTAATAGTATCAGTATTCCAGCTGTTTCTACTGCTATTGATACGAACCCGACTTCTACTGCTAGTAGTAATACCCAA